TCCTTCTTCTCCTACTCCAACTAGGGAAGGAGGGGGACCTACTCCTACTGGGAGTAGGACTCCCCCTTGGGCGCGCCATAGAGAGGGTCGGCCCTCCCCTCCTCCCCTCCTTTATATACGGGGGAGGGTGGCACCCCATAGACACACAAGTTGACAATTGTCTTAGCCGTGTGCGGTGCCCCCCTCCACAGATTTCCACCTCGGTCATATCGTTGTAGTGCTTAGGCGAAGCCCTGCGTCGGTAACTTCATCATCACCGTCATCACGCCGTCGTGCTGACGAAACTCTCCCTCGGCATCAGCTAGATCAAGAGTACGAGGGACGTCACCGAGCTGAACGTGTGCAGATCGCGGAAGTGTCGTGCGTTCGGTACTTGGATCGGTTGGATCACGAAGACGTTCGACTACATCAACCGCGTTGCTAAACGCTTCCTCTTTCGGTCTATGAGGGTACGTGGACACACTCTCTCGCTCGTTGCTATGCAACACCTAGATGGATCTTGCGTGTGCGTAGGAATTTTTTTGAAATTACTGCGTTCCCCAACAATGCGTCCATTGCATAGTGCAACTGCACACACTGGTTGTCAAAGGGAGATTATCCCTAATTACATTTACTAATTAATCTCAACATTTCTCACACACCGGAAATTTGTTTGTTTTGACACAAGCTCCTCAGATGTTCAAACACCACAAAAATTTGCAAGAACCTTGACCCACGGACATACGAACCCTTTTCACGCTGGTAATGTGGGAACTCTGGAAGCACAGAAATGCCATCGTCTTCGATGGAGCCTTGCCTTTGGTTGCAGCACTTGCGGCACACATACTGGAAGAAGCCCAGCGATGGCTTCAAGCCGGGAAGTTGGGAGGTGTGCCTCTCCGACGTAGAAAGGTGGGCTAGGAGTGAGTAGTAGGCTAGATCGATGTGGCGGTGTACAAACAGTTTGTAATTTGTAACACCTCCATGTGGACTGGGGTCTTTATCCTTTAATATATGATATGCACACTTGTGTGTATTCGAGAAAAAGCCTCATCGAGCGTTTCTTCAGCGGTTGATGCTGTTGCGTGCTGCGTGCGGTCGTGCCAACCCCAAGCTTGGGGCTTGTTGATACGTTTCTACTAAATTCTTGCAAACGTTCTTGAATGGTAAGTTCCTTCTAGTTCAACCTGAATATCCGGATGCTCAAGCAGAGACCATCACAAGTATAAGCAGTAAAAGGCAGGGAGCCTGTAAATTTTCAGTGCATCAAAACAAGTGTGCCCAATCTTAGTGGTCGCTGACTGACTACATGCTGACTGTGAAAGAAATTCACACCTGCATTTGGACTGGCACACAAGCATGCCACAAATACGTAACCAGGAATATTATGAAGCAAACAACAACAATATGGAGCATGCATGCATCAATCCATGGCCCAACAGCTTCATTGCGTCCAGCAAACACCACTTGCTTCACTGCAAGTTTACTTTCAGTTCAACATGACCGCCAACAGTACTAACTAAATTAAGAGACCCCGAAAGAAACTTAGCACGCATGGTCACATTTAGCCAATATATACTGTGCCCTAGGTTCAGGCACAAAACACAACATTGTATAGCTATATCCTGAGGTTAATTCCCTCTTGCTGCCCTCGGAAAAGGCAAGCGTCAATTCAAGGGGGTGCTCTTCTATAGAAAATCGCCAGGGACAGAAGCTGGGTCGAGCTCGTAGAAGTCCCGGAGCTTGCCACCTTCCTCCTTTGTGAGACGGAATGATGGAATTCGGTGAGAAAATCTCAGGTTCTCTTTCCTAGGTATTTTCAGTACTCCCTTGGTAAGGTCAGGTTTGAACACAGCGACATAGCCATCAACTTTAGTCAGAAAAGAAAATAATGTGCCTCGTTTACTGCACTCGACGATCTCCCCGATAGCATAATCAGTAGTGTGCTTGTTGCTGGAAGGAACCCAATCAGGTGACCAGTTCTTGTAGATGGCCCAAACTTCACCGACCTTGGGAAGAATTTTAACCTGCCAGTTCATATCGATTTGGCTATTTTCTACCAAATGAGAGAAGGGGTGGTTTCCACCATACTTGGCTTTCCAGCTTCGTATTTTAAACTTGCCACAGCTCACAGGTACATTCTGCCCCAACCAAAGCTTCTCCTGTGCCTGTTGAGGGCAGGCCTGGAGCCAGGTCAGATGCACTTCAAATGGTTGTATCTCAACTTTGCTCACCCAGCCATACACTTTCGGGAATGTATCAGCGTCATTGTAGAGAGCCCAAATTTGGCCACTTTCAAACTTCTCACATGACCGGTCTTCTTCAAAGTTGTGGAATTCAGATTCTGGATATGGATAAGAAATGAGTTCCGAAGACATGTAAGAGTTGAGAGTAATGGAAGGAAATGCTGTTTCCAGATCACTTGGAAGAGCTGCTGTATCCAGTTCCAGGAGCTCTTCTGCAACGCCCACCCTTTCATTTTCATGTGTTCTATAAAAGGGGATACAGTGAGAAAATCTCAGTAGCTCACTTGATGGTATCGAAAAGAAGCGTTTGTCCTTAGCTTGTGCAAACAGACTAACAAAGCCTTCAATCCTCGTAAGCGGCGAAACAATGACATCGCCACTCGTTGAGCCATCAGAGATAACTTCCACAACATCATGTCCATAGGATCGACAGTTATCTGGATCGGAGATCCATTGCATGCTCCATCTTTTATAAAGAGCCCATACCTCACCCTTATTAGGATTTATTTCATAGGAGTTCCCATTTTTGCCTCTTGTCAATGGAACTCTGTGAGACAGGTATGTGGATGGATCTTGTAATAGGGTTGTTGTTTCTCCTCCTAAGCAGAAGCTTCCGCAAGATACAGGCAATTCCTTATTATTCCAATTGGCTTCTTGCTCATTCCTTGGATTGTACTCCAGCCATGTCAGCTGAACTCTTAAGTCAGAAGTATCAATGTGCTTTACCTGAGCATAATCTCTTGGCATGCCATCAAGGTTATCATAAAAGGCCCAGATTTGATCAACTGCAATAAGGTTTACATCTCTGATCTTGCCAAAGTCAAAAAAGTCAGGATGATGATAGGTAATCACAGGACTGCCAAGCTTCTGAGGAGCACTACCACTTGCTTCCTTGTAACTTTGCTGATTGGCTTCACGACTTGCAGTTACTCCACCTTGGCTATCCACGCTACTTAAGGCATGATGCTCAGCAGACTGATTCTCAGCAACAGCAGCATTGTCATTAGAAATTTGCTCAGAAGCACTAGATGGTGAGTCATGGTTCCTTTGCATCTTATAATTAGAGGAGTCTGTGCCGTGGCTGCAGTCTGGGCCATCATCTTGCTTTCTCTTACCTAATCTCTGAAGGCTGGAGGACCTTGCAATATTTGGCACTAGAGATACATCTTCACTTCTAAAGTTCTGTGTGGAAATGAAGTTCGGATCAGGATGAGCTGATGTCAAATTGCTAACTGATTCCTTGCCTGCAGCAGGCGCAGAAGATTTAGCTTGGTTCATTGCTGAAAGCTGAACTACATCGCTTCTTGTCTCTGAACAATTACCTTCCTCATCACCGCTTGCCCTGTCAATCCTTTCTCTATGTTCATCAGTTCGAGTAGCATTCATGGTAGGTTCAGAGTAAATGTTCCCCCCTGTCTGGGCCTGCTGATTGGTGATGCCATGTTTTGTTGACATGAAATCTTCTCAGGTGAAACTTCAGCATTATTTGCTGAATGAGATAGAAAACTCGAGGGCATTGGCTGTTCATGCAGCTTGAATGCAAAGAACAATTTACCACAGTTATCACAGGTGACCAAAAAGTTCTTTTTGTAGTACACGAATCACCTCCGACAATGCGGGCATATAGTCCAGAACACCAGCACAAAATCAGGTGGTTGTTTGCATCCATCCACATGACTCTCATTTCCACCAGTCTTATTTGGTAGCTGTGTAGCTTTGCTTGTCACATGTTTGGAAGCATACTGCCTTCTGATGTCATACAAAGACCGCTCCGTACGATCACACAGTATCTTGCGAGCTTCTGAGACCAACTTCAGAGCAACTTCAGCACCAGGGAGTGTGTTTTTATCAGGATGGAGCCAAAAGGCAAGTTTCTCATATTGCTTTGTTATGACTGTCTCATCTGCTGTTGCCTCCACCTGGAGAATACTATACCAATCTAAGTCTTCATTGATTTTTGCAACTGCTGCACATTGCACTTCACAGATAGTTAACAGCTGGTATATGTTCTCAAACCCTGGAAAAAGCCTTTGAGCTTTAAGTGCAATCCTTCTAGCCCCAAGAAAGTCTTTGCTTTCCAGCATGTTTGCAGCTATTTCTCTGGCCCTCAACCCCTCTTCTCTGTTGCACTCCATCAAATTATCTAGCAAATTGCCACAAAAGCCTTCACATATACTACTAGCAGCCTGGCATTAATATGCTCCAAATAACAGGTTTCTAATGATGATCTAGTAAGAGCAGATCTAAACCTTCTGATCTCTTTATGCAACAACAATATGTAAAGAGAATTTGCAGCGCATCACGCTTGCACCCTGTAGATATAGAAAAGAATAAGCAACTGTTGGTAATAGAAATGTACAACTGATAAAACCTTTATTATGATCAGATAAATACATACTCCCTCCGTCCCAAAATATAAGAACGTTTTTAACACTAGCATAGTGTCAAAAATGTTCTTATATTCCGGGACAGAGGGAGTAGTTATGTAAATTCCACAACAAGGATTATAGTGCAGATGAAGTACTATACCACCTACATATGCCAGTATGCATGCTAGGATAAATGGAATAAAACAAAAAAACTATTTATCACGTAGTAGAATGTAACAAGATACGACAGACTTAAGAAACAGTGCATTCTCAGCAACACAGTAATTTAAAAATACCTTTGTTACTGCCCTAAACTTGTGACCAACATGTATGCCATATTCTGGTTAACCAACTCCTAGGCCTTCCTGAAGGCAGTGTTAAGTAGGACGAGATGCATGATGAACATATGAAAGATGGAATAGGACAACCAAAGGTAGATATTAGATAGATCATGGTGTATGCAGGTTTTAAATATGGCTACATGAGCATAAACAATTGGATCACAAACTTAGTGGGAGCAAGTCCATAAAAGAAGAAAACCAAATCGCTGGAATCTGACAAGTAAACTTCTTAGCAGCCGCTTGTTTTGTGTGGGAGCAGCTGCTTTAAGACACTCTTTGAAAATTTATCGTCGCATGGACTATAGAGTATCCATCCACCTGGTGAAGTAATCAGACCGACTTACATAAATCATATGACACGCTAAGTTCAATATTACTCAAACTTGTGAGCGAGAACATGATGCGGACCAAATAGGGAATTTGATGTGTGTTTGGCGTTGTCTTTCATGGTGGATGAACAGTAGTAATGTTGTAAATATGATAAGTTCAATTGTCCCACCCTAGAGTTTTTTCTCTCTCTTCTTTCTCAAAGCTGACGATAAACGCTTGAATAGACCATCATGGCTCTCACCTCTTGGCCATGAAAGAACTTCCATTATCATAAAAAATGTCCTACATGGCTCAATACACATGCCTTTACGATCTTCTAAGCACGTATTACTGTTATAATACCTAGGTGGCTAAAATAACATTTAAACATCCAAATCACAATTAGAACCTTTGATTCTGATGTGGTTGGCATGTGAAAAGAATTGTGCGAGCATACTACTATCAAATGTAGCTTAACCCAACTTGCTTGGGACAGTACTACTGTCAAATGTATCACAAATGGCATGACTCAAACGAATGGAAATGGAACTGCTCCTTTGTCTAGATTAAATTCAATAACCACCTTAGTTTCAGGTTTGGAACAGATTACGCTAAAAGCCTAAGACCGCGTCCAGCACAATAGTTTACCTCAGATTGATTTTTTTTAAAAGAAACTGGAGTTTCCTAACAAGACATAGTTGAATGTTACTTTCTGTATAGATCATCTCTTAGAACAATGCATACATGTAAAATTACAGTGTTCACACTTATGCATTCATCAATCTTAAAATTCTTCATGACAGAGATGATTGTGGAAAATATATCTCGCCATGCAACAAGACTGGTATTTCCACAAAACCATATCCCAAGCAACTTAATCAATGTTCTATCTTCAGAGCAACCTTGACGGCAATTCCACAGGTATGAGCAGTGTTAATGAGAATATTTGATGAGACCATGTAGCAGTGGTAAACCACTTTGATATGATGGTTGAGGTCAGGATTTCAAGCCCCAAGTTCTGTGTTGACTAAAAGCCGGTAGTGCCCCTGCACATTCTTAGTCTTTATAGATGATATCATCAGAAATAATACTATTTTTATTTTGTTTGTGACACCACTTGAAGAGCTCACTCCTTTAACCAACACCATTTTTATTTTTATTTTTGCCAGGACTTTAAGCAACTCCACAGGATATCCGAATTTTGGTAAGCATTTATCTGCTCTCCTATGCGACCACCCAAAAAAAACCTTTTTGAAGAACTGCCTTGACCATCAGACCATAAAACTAGTAGTAGCGCATGGAAAAAATTGCGTTGTTGCAGCATGGGCGCCACTCTACTTAAGTACGGACACTAATCCTCTTAAGAGCATCCCGATTTAGGGCTAAATTACGAACCCTAGGGCTAAAAAAAGGGAGGCGGAAGTAAAATTTGCTCCCACTCCCATCTTGCGAGGCCACTACCCACCACCTCCGTTCACAATTTGGTACCACATTTACGATTACGCGCAACCACCGTCCGGCAACCTCGCGGCATGGCGGCGGCGGCCGATACATCGAGGATCCAACCACGCCTACGCGCAAGACGAGAATGCCCATGCGGAAGTAGTGGTGAGCCAAGCGGACAACCAAAGCGCCACCCATCGACCAGAATTAGTCGCAGCCAAAAGACGAGAAGAGGGGAAATTGAAATGCTACACGGGTAAGGTAGGGGAACCAAAGCATGGGCAGTAGAAATAACCTGCGCTGGGAGTGGAGCGATCGGCGGTGGCCGGAAGCCGGCGAGCCTAGCGCGGCGGTGAGGGAGCGGGAGCAATCGGCGGGGTGGGTTTTTTTTTTGAAAGGGCGGGGTGGGGTTTTGGCTTTTGGGAGAGTGGGAGCTGTGGAGGCGAACCCCTTTTTCTTCTTGACGGCGGCTTGTGGAGGTGAAGTGAAGTGGTGACTGGCGAACTCTACTTTCTGGCCTTGTGTCCAGTACGGCCGATGGGAGTAGCATTTATTCTTTTCTTAACATAGTACACACCGAAGCTCGTATATACGCGCATACACTCATCTCTATAAATACACGCACGCACACCCTATCTCTATGAACATCTTCGAAAGACTGAGGTGGATGACTATTTGGCGTAGAGATGAGAAAAGACGAGGGGGTAGCTGGGTTATGTTTTTTACTTTTCTTATTAAATGAACTGGGCTGGGTAGGTTCACCTCTATAACAGCTTATTTGATTGGAGGTAATTAGAGAGAGGGAATGAAAAATAAGAAATTGTGAGATTTAAAATTGGGCGTGACTAGACGGCGCCCGGGCGTCCGTTGCAGGAGCGAGCGCTCTTCCCGATATGGAAGGAGCAGCTATGCGCGGGACGCGGACAACCCAAAAAGAAAACACGCGCCCACGCCTGGTCCCGCCAGCCCCCACGCTCAAGATCAGGCTCATGGTCCTCGCGTCGCGCCTCACCCCGCGCTCACACGTTCGGGCGTCCCACTGATGACCCATAAGTATGGGATATCAATCGTAATCCTTTTGATAAGTAAGAGTGTCGAATCCAACAAGAAGCGGAAAAAAATGACAAGCAGTTTTCAGCAAGGTATTTTTTGCAAGTACTAAAATTATTGGTAACATATAGTTTGATAGTAAGATAATTCGTAACGAGTAACAAGTAACAAGTGTAACAAAAGTGCAGCAAGGTGACCAAATTCTTTTTATAGCAAAGGGCAAGCCTGGACGAACTCTTATATAAAGCAAAACGCTTTTGAGGACACATGAGAATTATCATCAAGTTAGTTTTCATCATGCTCATATAATTCGCGTTCGTTATTTTGATAATTTGATGTGTGGGTGGACAGGTGCTTGGGTGTTGTCCTTACTTGGACAAGCTTCCCACTTATGATTAACCCCTCTCCCAAGCATCCGTAACTACAAAAGAAGAATTAAGATAACTCTAACCATAAAATTAAATATGTGGATCCAAATCAACCCCTTACGAAGCAACGCATAAACCAGGGTTTAACCTTCTGTCACTCTAGCAACTCATCATCTATTTCCTACTTTCCAATGCCTTTCCCTAGGCCCAAATAATGATGAAGTGTCATGTAGTCGACGGTCACATAATATCACTAGAGGAAATACAACATATATCTCATCAAAATATCGAACAAATACCCAATTCACATGATTACTTATAACAAGACTTCTCTCATGTCCTCAGTAATAAAAGTAACTACTCACAAAGCATGTTCATGTTCATGATCATAGAGGTATTAAATATCATTAAGGATCTAAACATATGATCTTCCACCTAATAAGCCAACTAGCATCAACTACAAGGATTAATCAACACTACTAGCAACCCATAGGTACCAACCTGAGATTTTGAGACAAATATCGAATACAAGAGATGAACTATGGTTTGAGATGAGATGGTGCTGGTGAAGATGT